GCACGATGGCGAATTTAGGGTGCGGTTACACTACCCAGTTATCGACACCTACTATTCAGCTTCTTAAATTTTAACGTACATTCGGTACAAGCAGATTATTTTAGATACATTTGGAACACGATTTTTTCAAACAAATTTAAGTGAAAGGTATGAGATTTTAAGTAAAAGCAATTGCTATTTTTTATGTGTAAGTCCAAATGTTGTTAAGGTACAGAAGGAAGATGTAGTCCACCAACTCTCAAAAATATGTGCACATATAAATACATGTTTACTGTTTAGGTACGTATATCTTCTTTTAGGTACAACTTTTAGGGAAATAGGTACAATATGAAAATTTAATATTCATCACTAGTGCGAAAAAATAATAATGTGACGTCAGCGAAAGGGTGGATGCAGTCAAAGAAGAGAGGATTAGCGATCCGCGGAAGGTGCCACCTTTGTTTCGCGGCATCGTGGTATATACTGTGATTTCTTCTTCTTCGTGGCAGTAGTATAAAATTAATGCTGCCCACCCCAATAAGCATGATCCAAATTGTTACCGTGAGAAGTGATCCGGATACTGAGCTGGATAAATAGGAAGGAAAACACGACGGATTTTCTACTAAAAAAAAGCTTATTGCGCCAAATAAAAACCCAGTGGTGTCGAAATTCTCATAACTGTATATATTTTTCCTAACGAGCTGCATTACAATTTGTCAGTACAACCTGCCAATGAAAGTGCAGGAATCGCTAGAGTGCGAACCAGTTTTAATGAGAAATGCTTTAAAAGAATATTTAAGGAACGTGTTTTCAAGAAGTGTTATTTATCGTTTTGCTTTGATATATAGTGTCGCTGTTTAATATTAAAAAAAATACCTATATAGTTTGTGAATGAAAAGTAAATTATGCAAACATAAGTATTACATTTTATAATTTTCGCTTACAGGTTTAATATCACGGTGTAAAAATCCCACTGAATGTATGGATTCAATAGCTTTCAATATTTGTAATCCCAATCGTAGCGTTGTACTCAATGAAAATGCTCCACGCGGTTGTGCGCGACGCAACTCCGCCAGGTTTTTACCTTGCAATTGCATCACAACATAATTAAATCGATCATTTCTACCACAGCCAATAAAGCGACAAACATGCTCTTTCCCTTGCAGTTTCTTAAGGACAGCAACTTCCATCTTCAAAACCTGCTTCGGCTGACGTGCCGATTCCACCTTTAACGCAACTTGTTCACGAGTTATCAGATCTTGGCCTTCATAGATTTCTCCAAAGCCTCCGCCACCTATTTTTCGCACAACCTATTATTAAGAATTGTTAATATTAAATAGGTCGATAAAAAATTAGTTAACGTACTTTCCATCGTTCTTTGACTACGTGGCCTGGTTGTAAGAGGTCTTCCGAGGCCATTTTAACTTCTGTTGCTTCAACACGGCACACGGTATTGTTGCTATTGATGTAATTGCTCTTATCACCCAGCGGAGCAGCTGGTGATGGCACCTGAAATGTTACGCGACTGCGAATGCCTAAGCGGCAATGTTTTGCTGGAAGTGTTGCAGATCGCTGCAGTGCATTTGAGACACGTTGTTGCCCCTCGTCAGTGATTTTCGGACCTGCATTTTCATTATCATTTACGTGCCTATTTAATATTGAAGGCGGCGGTTTCGATGGAGGTTGTAGCCGCAAAACGTGAACTGGCTCTTGGTTTTTTTTCTTTCGTATTATTTTGATTATACAAGTGTTTCTGTTGCTGTGGTGTAAGCCGTGCGATATCGCAATTTGTTTTTGTATATGTACTACCGCGACCTGATGCAATCTGTTGAGATAAATATTTGTTTTGTCGCCCCGCTGGTTGCAACCCAGTAACATTTTCGTCATCTCTAAAATATATATGAAAAAATACGATTATTTTTCAATCTGATTGAATGCATTCAAAATTGGTCAGAAAAGGCATACATGAAATAATTCTTAATATTATGAAGGCTACTTAAAACCTTTCGTTATTTCAGATGTATAATCAATGATTACTTAATTTACGGTTTTTATTAAGTATTTTATATCATCTAATTTATATTATCGAACCATACAAATTGTTAGTCATCGGCAACTTGTAGTGGTATACGCTGAATGCACTCTAAGAAATAACATGGCAGTGCAAATAAATAACAGGTGATTACTAGAAATTTCATTCCCACGACAGCCGGATCTACGTACCGGAATGACTCGGGGTTTACCCGACCAAGGGACTTTGTTTCGGCGACCTAATCCCGTTTATATCGACGATACCTTTCAATCATTTTACGTCCATGGAGCAATACCCCGCAGCCGGATTGCTCCGCGTCCTTCTTCTATGGGCTGGCATTGAGCCTCACCCCGGACAAGAAACATACTTCTGCTGCGTTTGCCAGAGATGACTCCACCCAAACTCCACTTCGGTTAGGTGCAATTCCTGCAACGTATGGAGTCACTTAAGAACCTGTTCTGGCCTTAGGTCTCACCGGGAGTGGACCACAAGCTTTGTGGCCCCCTGTTGCTCAAGCCAAACGGCACCACCAGCCTCCACGGCTACGCACTCGTGCAACGCGCACCCAAGGAGCCTACAGGACTCCAAGAAGCTCCCCAGAGCAACAGCAAACCTCCCACTCCCTCAGCCAACCAGCAGATCTTGGTTCCCCACACGATTTGCTTCGTTCGCCAGAACAGAGTATACCGCAACGTGGGATCAGTCAAATTCAACCCATGCCTTCGCTGGTACCGCTTCCGCTTATGCTCTAGTCTACGCACCACACGCGAACTACTGCGCCCCCTGCTAAAGAGCACTGCCGCCGTAGACAACATCGAACCCACTGCAGGCACCCATCACCAGGCAGCAACAGTAACTGTGTCGGGTACAGCAGACCCAAGGTAGACCTCACACGTCCCTCAGCCCCCCGTATCGCGATCAGCCTCCCAAGACATACGAAATTCTTACAACTGAACTGCAAGATTGAAGAGAAAGCGTTCCCACGACAGTCGGGTCTACGTAACCGTAACGACCCAGATTTATATCTGGCCAAGGACTGTCACTCCAGCAACACTCCCCAAAAAGTCTTTGGGGAATTTGTATGCTGCTACAACAACAACAACAACAACATTGAAGAGAAAGCAGTTGTTGTTGTTGTTGTAGCGGCACTACTAAGCCCCGCCTATTTCAGGGCAACATTCAATCATGGTCGTCAACTAACGGAAGGTCCAGGAAGCGAGCTATTTCAATGGGGTCGGACCAAAGGGAAAGGGGTGTCAGTCGAGTCGGATTGAGCTGGCATGTGAAGAGGTGGTCGGTGTCATGAGGGGATTCTCCACATGCCGGGCACTCATTAGGGATGTTGGGGTCGAGTCTGGACAGGCAGCTGTTGAGGCGGCTACAGTATCCAGACCTTAATTGAGCCAGAGTAACGCGGGTCTCTCTTGGCAATTGAAGCTCCGTATCTACTGCAGGTGATGATTGGGCTCCGATTACGGCAACAGAAAGCAGTCTTTATGGGTCGGCATGGCATATTGATAGCTGCGGTCCTAGAAACGAAGTTCCACAGCAACTCAACACTGTTGAGTTGCGCCGCCACAATGTGCTCCGTAAAGATCGCGAACGAGATAATGGTGAAGGTTTAGGGTTTAGAGTTCGAAATTTCAGACTTTGGTATCGATACTGAGTACTCATTCTGGCAACGAGCTCATGGTATCGATACTCTAAAAATATCAGGGATAAAGTATCGATACAACTGAGTATCGAACTCATCAAAATACGTTTTTTGGGATTCTAAAACTATTTTATTCTTCGGTCGTATATCTAGTTATTTCCTGAAATTAAAACAATACAAATTTAAAATATTTGATTTTTATTTCATTGCAGAACTTACTTTCACGTCAGAAGTAATTTTGACGTTAAATGTGCATACATACATACATATATACTTTAACGAATTTCAGATTTTATTAAGATTTTTTTGTAAACTTTTTGGGTATGCATTTTTGTAGCTTATTCAATTTAAGTATAATAATGTGCAAGTATGAATTAAAAGTCAACGATAAGAGGCTACACGTAAAGTTGAGTAGGTTACAAAACTGCATACCCAAAAGGTTTCTAAAAGTTCTGCATTTTCATGAACTTTGCGTAAAGTTAAAAAATAATAAAGGTTTATAAAATGAAAAATGTATGAAAATTTCATTTTATTAAGCTCTTTAAACCTACTTTTTTTATGAATAAGGCTATTTACACTTCAACTTATTTGGTTTATGTTATGCAACAGACTATACGAAATTTCAGTTTATTTTAAGTGATGAACAAAATTGATTGATAGTATCCATATAAGCAAAGAAAATCGGGTTGCCAATGGAAGAAAAAATTTAAAAAGTTTTCGATTCTACGAGTACTTTGCAAATTATCGAGTAAAATCACCAAATAAGGTATCGCGTATTAAAGTACTCATTTTTAAACCCTCAGTATCGATGCTTACTCAATATCGTTAGTATCGTTCGAACCCTACGCAGCCGTACTGCGATGAACATGATGTCGGTGGGATATAAATAATTTTTTCGCAACTTTTCATACCCTTCCTCCCGTAAACTGTTTTTCCCTTTCTCCAGCCCGCGCTCGCACTTTCGCTACTGCGCGGGCAAAAAAGTGCCCATGTCTGCTCTAGAAAATAATTTATGCAACGTTTGTTGATACGCGGTTTTGTAATTTAAACGACGATATGTATATTAAGATCTTGCTTAAAGCATCCTCTTAAGCTAATTAAAGCAATTGCGCTTATACCTATTTTGGTGAGATCTCTTAATATGTTCATTGCTTCGTTCACAAAAAATAAAATGCTTTAATTTCACGCTTAATAGCGATTCTTTATACGTTCAGAAAACGTAATGCTTTCTACCATCTTTAATGAAAATCGATTTTTGAACGAAAAAAACTTTATAGGAAATATAAAATTTTGGCCTATTTAAAAAGGTATCCACATTTATACTGACCGGAAAAAATAAGTATCCCGCAAAAATTCGCCTAAAAATGTATCCAATTGGATCTATTTAGATCCAAACGGCATCCCTGCTCTCAAGCACTCTTCTCCCTCATTCCCCAACACATATCCCTTGCGGCTACAGAGTGCGCAATAACTTGCATACATCTTGCCCCAGGTTTTGTTCAACAGCCGTCCCTAAATTGGAGCGTTCAGCGCTGCGTTTTCTATCGCCAACGAGCGGCAACGCGCGTTATCCCTAAACAAAAGCGCAATTTTTTTGACGTTTTCTCATTTACTCTCGTTTTTTCACTTTTGCCCTTTTTATTTCTCACTTCTGTCTGCAGCACTCAACTTCAAGATTTCTGTCAAAAATGAAAATGCCATTTACTTCGTGCTAGCGCCGCGATATTGTGGGATGCTTCATACAAATTATATGGGCATGAGGCTTGACGCGCCAATTTAGGGATGGCTGTAAGACGTGGGATCTGAGAGAGCGGCGGAGGGATGGTAAGCTATTTATGCAGGTGAATTTTTTAAATGTGCAGCTGTGACATTTCGCATGTTACAAGCAGCACGTAGGGCAACACAACGACGCGCGGTGGCGCAAGTCAACCAGAAATGGCGTTCGGTCGCATCCTATGGTGCGTGTACGCAATCTTTTTGCATTGCAGCTGTTTGCAGATATATAACTACATATCGTCGTTTAAAGTACAAAACCGCGTATCGTCATTCTGCAAAACCGCGTAACTGGCATTTGCCGCCAAAAATTGGATTGGCTCACACAAGATCATGGCTCAATCCTTATCCATTCGTCCTGAAATATACTAGCCAGAAATGCGATTGCTTTATAGAAAAAGAGAACCATTTTGAAATATGAGTGTTTTTACTCTCTAGCGAATAATTTATGCAACCTCACATTCGCGGTTTTGCATTTTGTTGATACGCGGTTTTGTACTTTAAACGACGATATGTATGGATGTATATATGTATGTACATATGTACATATTAAATTTGCTACAATCACCTGCATACTTGCTGCTTTGATTCACGCCTTTTGCACTTTAAACCTTTTTTTACCTTCCTTTTATTAGCTCGGGATGTAACTATGTAATATTGATGCGCCTAAAAGATGCAGCGATTTCTATTCTCAAGTTACATACCTGATGACAGTACGAATGACAATTATAATAGGGAGGTTTTAGTTTTTTAAACTATAATTTTATTATTATCATTTGCCGTCAATGGCGGAAGGTTTTACGTTACCATGAGTATTCGGCTGTTACCGAGTTATTTGCAAGCGTATTCAACTCATGCAAAAATATGCACACATACACAAACCTGTACGCAAATGTAAAATTTTCGCTCCAGTTTTTTTTTTTTTTGCTTTGGCAATGTTTAGTTTTGGAACAAACAACAGCGGAGCAATGAATCTCAAATGCGAAGAAAGTTTTGTACGAAAAAAACATACTGTGTTGTGAAAACGGAGCTTTTTGGTTTCATACCGGGATTGCATTTTTAATAATAGCAGTGACTGCAAGTTATAATTTACCAGTAAAACTTTTAATTTTCATGAACAGGAGCGAAAACTTTTTTATTCATGGTCGAGCACTCAACGTGGTAGCAGAGGTCCATTGCGCAAGTGCAACCATTTGTGGCGAAGCCAACAATTTTACATATACATATCGCACACCGTCTTCAAAAGAGTCACAACTCAAAATAACACGTTTGTCAGAAAATGCGAAAAACTATTTCTTAGCACATGATAATCATAAGGGCAAGGGCGAATTTAACTTAGGTTTTTTTAACAAATTATAACAAAAATTTGCTTCAGGTTTTGCTGAAAGGTAAATAAAAGCTCCGTATGCATTTTTAGCGCATAA